ATCATGATCCCAATTCTACCTTACAAATCTGGCTAGACCAGAGGATGTACACTTGTACAGATAGCTACTGGAAACACAAGGAATCTAGGGCAGATGATCACTTCAGGACCAGTGGTGTCAGTGGCGATACTGGGAAGATGGAAAGAGGATGGGTTGGAAAGGGGGAACCGATTACAAGGATCTAAATATAACCTCCTCCCTGGGGGAAGGACAACAGAAAAGTGGAAGGGAGATGTTGGACAGTGCAATATATGACAAAATAATAATTTGTAAATTATCAAGGGTTCATGAGGGAGGGGGGGAACAGGGAGGGAAGGGAATAAATGAGGGGCTGATGCCAGGGGCTTAGGTGGAGAGCGGATGTTTTGAGAATGATGAGGGCAATGGATGTACAAATGTGCTTTACACAATTGATGTATGTATGGATTGTGATAAGAGTTGTATGAGCCCCTAACAAAACGATTAAAAAATTAGGGATACCTTTATGAAAATCACATCTTCCCTCAGAAGGCACAAAAACAACATTTTCTTCCTAAGGGTGGGCCCAACTTTCCATAACTGAGAAACTTAACATTAAACAAAATACCCCTCCATTTACCCATAATTAAAAATAGAATACCTACTGAAAAACTACCTACAGCCAAATTTCAGGAAATGTAATCTTTACATTTATCTTGGCTAAGAATACACATGTGGTTGTTTCTGACCTTTCTGGTCTCTGAAAACTCTTAAATACATTGGATTTTAGAATTTCACTTCACCTGCAGCCAAATAAACCAGAAAAGAGACAAAAATGTCCAGCGCTTAGTAAAGTCTTATTTTTGAACGATAGGTCTATCAGAATAGTTGGCTGACAGATACCATTTAGGTCATCAACAATAACAAGAAAAAATATAGCTGACCTTTTCCCTTAAAGCCAAGAACATTGTTAAAAATGTAATCAGCTCTACAGATAAAGATCTGGGTTTGAAAACTAATTTTAAAGAAGAGTAACTTTTCCTCAACTTTTTTCCTAATTTGTGAGCTAAAGCAAGTAGCAATGCCTCCTGGGAGATGCCTGATGGCGCAGTGGATATGTGCTCAGTAATTGGACTCTACTAGCCAGTATCTAAAGATGACAGCTTGTTGTGACACAGATTTATGTCTTGGAAGCTTTACAAGGCAGTTCTACTCTGTCCAACGGGCTATTATGAATCTGAATTTGATCAGAAAGCAGCGGGTTTTGGTTCATGCCTCTTGGTGCTGCAACGAAGAATATTGTAAAAGAAAAATCTGCTAAGTATCAGTGTCTCACTTATGGTTTGTAATCATTCAGTGAACATCAGCTATTGCTGTAATTTAAAAGTAGTTCAGATTGAATAGGCTGCTAACATTAAAACACTTGGAAATATTAACAAAACTCACTGTACAATTTCATATGAATTCCCTGTTGACTGATGTAAATTGTGTTTCCCTCTTACACTGCATGCAGATGTGAACATAGTGTCCCCTTCTGGATACATCTTCAAATAAGGGGAACGGGCTCTGGGAAACAGTTTATAGTCTAACCCAGCAAAGATTCTCAGAGTATTTACAAAAATCAATGTGATCTGTCTTAATGAACTTTAATATCAGAGGGGCACACATGCGAAGAAAAGACGGGAGTAGACGTGATGGGAAAGAACAGTGCTGGAAAGTGCTGGGCGCGTGGCGGAGGAAGCTGGGCCATTAGTGCGGTTTGACAGACAGGGTTGGGAAGGCTTCCTGGAAGAGATGGCAGAGCCAAGACTTGAGGAAGAAGCAGGATTTAACTAGACGGAGTAGTGATTAGGGAGGACTTTGTAAGAAAAGAGGACCAAGAATGATGATACGGGTTCCAAGGTGACAAAAGATAGGATTCTAGAGTTACTGAAACTCAAGGTGATTGTTTTAGCAGTCAGCAAATGAGAAGTTAAAAAAAAAGGCTATCGAGCTAGTTTAAGAGCGAAAAACACACCAATGTGTTTGTGTGCCGTAAAGCCAAACTGTCATTGCCTACAGGACAGGCAGAAAGCTCTGCAAGTAACCGCTGCCACTCCTTAGTGCAACCTGCCACTTTCAGGGCCTGTGCCAGACATGTGAACTTAATCACGTGAGCCAATGCAGTCTTTGGTAAATGTCAGAACTTAGGAAAACTATTTTTGGTTTCACTGAATGATTTTTGCTTTTAAACCACTATTTCTGGTTAGTTTCTCTCCAGTGATGTCAGTTGTTCTAAAGTTCTTTCCATGACTCATCTGTCAGTTTGTGGATCAGTGCTGGCTTTTCAGTGTTGCTGGGATGCTGGAAGCTATGCCGCTCATATTTTAAATACTAGCAGTGTCCCCAGGCAACAGAAGTGAGCTCTGTGGGTCTGTTGAAAGAGCTGTCAGGGGCTCAACACATCAGCTCTCCAGTCCTCCTTACTGCCGATATATTCTAATTACCTGCTCATGGCAACTGTTTCCAGTGAATAGCTGTAGGACATGTTCAGATTTTCTTTTTTAATCCAGCTATTCGCTACTTTTTTCAACACATATGCTGATATAATGAAGGACCTGGTTTATTAATGGTTTATCTGTACCAATTTCTATTTTGGAGCTTAGAGTAACTTGTCAGATCACCTAGTTGTTAAACTCTTTGTTGCAGTCTAGTTGATTTTTGGTGCGGGGACTTATATTGAGATGTAGTCAATTAATGTCATCCTTCCAGCCATAATTCATTATGTGGTATATCATAAATCTGAACTCTATGTCTCTAGCTATAATCTCTAATTAGAAGGCAGGGAGTTAAACTGTTGTCTCTGTTATAGGATTAGAGTGGGAAGTTATCTTTAAAGTCACATCCTTTGTTTCCTTGGGACATGGGCTGCTAAAAGACGAAAGCCACACCTCCGTCAAAGCCACTCCTGTTGTGTGTGAAAGCCAGTTTGGACCCAGAGAGAAAGCCAGGACCACAGGAAGGGCTCACTCGAGATCTCTGAAGTGGTGGAGGCTGAGGAGGCACAACAGAATGTGGAATGGAGACTGGGGGCAGAACAAGAGCGTCCTTTGTTTCCTTGCGGGTATATCAAAGCCACTCCTATGTCTAAGAGTCATCTCACAGAGAGAAATCCCAGGACCATTGTTAGTAGAGCCCGCATGAGATCTGAAGTGGCAGAAGCTGCAACCAGATGCACCAAAGGCGGAAGCAAGGAGACCATGAGAGCAGAGGAGCAACGCTGAGACGAGGACACCAAGTAGAGTGGACCGTTGGGTTTCCAGACCTAGAGGCAGAAGCCACAAGGCTACATGGCTGAAATGCTACTATGGATTGGAGAGGCTTGGCTACTGGATGGGAAGACGTGTTGCTGTGAAACAATGACTATATCCTTACTGTTTTCTGATCCTGGTTTGTGGTAAACTGTTAACTCCCTTAATTGTGAGTACTGTCTGATTCTCTGTGGCCTCTCTAACAAACTCTCAAACCCACATAAAAGCAGAGTGCCATGGGAGGAATGCTTGGTGGCAGAATACGGTAAAGAAGGGTGGAGCATGGAGGTATTTCTGAATACTGCTCATGGCAATAGGGAAGCCGGAGGAGGTCAGAATCGGCCACCCCATGCGATACACTGCTCCACCTCACCAACTGATCCATGCTGGATTTTAGTACAAATGTGGTCTCTGCCCTATTTCTTTCAAGTGCATATACTCCACACTCCTGATCTTTTCACCTCAACATGAACTATGGGTAAGGTCCTCTGTGTCTTAGGTTTTTAGTTACCATATGCACGTGGATTACACCAAGATCTTGCCAATTTCTGACATTTGTCCTTGAATTAAATTTGATGTATGCTTACAGAACTGGTGTTTTTCTAACTTCAATCACAAATGGAGATTGTTACCTGTAAAACTCAATAACCTTGACACCTTTCCCACACTTGCCTGGGGAGGGCAAATCAGCAAGCAAGCAAACAAAAGAACTCCAATCTCACTGCCATCAAGTGGATGCCAACTCACAGCAACCCGTTAGCCCGGGGTTAAATGCCTTTGTTTTGAGACTGTAAGTCCTGACCCAGTAGAAAGCCCCATCTGTCTCCCTTGCTGACCTTCTGGTTAAGAGCCCAATGTGTAACTGGCTCTGTGATATTCTTGAATGGAATAATTTATAGTGACTGAGACATCTCACATTGACTTTTTATATCTATGCTCCTTTTCTGAGAGAACATAGCCAACGTTCATTTAATTAATGATAGTAGATTCTTTGCGTTAGGACACTGCGACTTAAAATAGTTTCAAAGAAACTACTTTCAGATAATGGGAAACTATTATTTGGAGACAAATTTAAATGTCCACATATATGTGATATCTTGCCATTTGTTGTTAATGTATTGGACACATTTACTTAGATATAAATCAGACATTAACTTACATACAAATCAAAATTTTGGATCATATAAACACAGTATGAGTAGGTAGATGGAGAATCACTTATGTAAAATACAAATGTGTTTAACAACAAATGGCAAGGTACCACATATATGTGGACATTTAAATTTTCTAGACCTCCAAAATCTCTAAAAGCAATTAACCTAAAACACCAACAAAGTGTCCACAGCCAGCCCACAGCTACTGTGGCCTGATGGCAAGTGTAGTTCCTAAGAGAAGCACCTGCCATGCTGCTCTTGCTGTTGGGGGTGTGTGCTCGCTGCCTGACCACTCACTTGCTGCAAGATCGATGCTGACCACGTGTCGGTAACCCAACAAGGACCCATCCTCTGCATTTCTGTCGGTTAATAAAAATAGGAACTAACGTAGGTCTTGCATAAGTGCCAGGTGGCAAAAAACCAAACTTGTGAAAAGCAGGAGCATCTGCACCACGCAAAACCAACAGCATTCGTGTCAGCCCTTAACCAGAACTGCTACCTCACTGACATGTAATTAAGATGTCTGAGGCAACACAACCCTCAAATGTATCGTTAGCCTCCGGAAGACTGGAAAGAAACCTGTTCTGTACTAACATTCTATGACAGATCTTTCTCCTGGATATTCAGCGACTTTCTGTGGCAAACAAACTATAAACAGGAAAAATTTTAAAGGTTTTAAAAGCAAATCTAAAATTAGTGCTGTTCCAGGGTTTCCTAGAGTTCAAAGAAAAGCAGATTCCACCAGGAAAACATAGAAAAGGACACTCAAACAGCACGTGGTTTCATGCTCTAACAGCGAGCCCCGGTGCCCTACAGAGTTCAGAACGATTGCACATTTTTGCAAGGGCGAGCTCAGTACTGATCTCATACCAACTGTTCAGAGGCCACTAGCTTAAGGAACTTTTTGATGAAGTCAATGAGTCCTTGAATGGTTCGGGTCCGCTCTACAGCCCACTTCTTCGTTTTCATAATAGGGGTATCTCCCACAGCCTTCAGAAGGATGTCAACTGTAAAAAGGAAAGCAAGAATTACTTACAGCTAAACTGAAACATCTAACGAGAATGAAACACCGATGACTTTACAAAACTTAAAACCTTTGTGTTTCTGATACTGGAGATAGAGCTGAGGCATAACAAATGTTAGATTCATCTTCATTTTTTATGTGTGTGATGTGTTTCTTAATTTCCCAGTTCTGTAAAAAATCGGACTATAGGAATAATGTTTAAAATACCCTTTAACATAACAGGCAATTCCAAAGACAACATAAATAGCTAATAAAAATATGCAAGTGCAAAAATCATTAAAAACAACAAAGTAAAATGACATCATAGCCTTTTCCATCTACCAAAGTGGGACAGAGTATAATATAACAATGAGGATGATACTACTGGAAGCCTTATTTGAATCGTTTGGAGTCTAATCATATCTAAATATTTTAAAGATATGATTTGACTCAATATTTCTAGAATTCTAGTCAAAGAAAATATGTGTAAAGGTTCACTTATAACAGCACTTCTCAACCTGTGGGTCACAACACCTTTGGGGGTTGAACGACCCTTTCACAGGGTCGCCCGATTTATAACAGTAGCAAAATTACAGTTATAAAGTACCAACGATAATAATTTTATGGTTGGGGGGTCACCACAACATGAGGCACTGTATGAAAGGGCATTATGAAGGTAGAGAACCACTGCTCTAGGACGATGTCACCTCCAGAGATTGCATTTTGTTTTTATAAGACCAAAAAAAAAAAAAATTCGACTGGTTAAATATCTAACTATCCAACAAGAGAAGACTATAATCTACAACAGAAAATTATACATAATACAGTAATACTTACTTAGGAGTAACACATACAAAGCTAAGCCAAAAAGTATTGTTACAAAATCAGACACCTTTCTAAAACAAAAAGTATCAAAATACGAGGCTGCTGTTTCTTGACACATCTTCCACCTAGCTCTAGGGACTTCTGAAGGTGGTGGGCACGTTTCTCTTCCCGTTCCTCAGAGAACTCTGTGCACACTACATCAAGTCCAATGGCAGTTTGGCATCCCTGAGGGACACACACTGCGTTCCTAATTCAATGTCTGGGGGAGTGAAATGAAGTCAGAAGGGCAAGACCAGAGCTGGAGGATGGAGAGGCTAAGCTTTCCCAATGAACGAATGAACAGGCACATCGTCATGTTGGGGAAAAATTCCTCTGTGCAACTTTCCTGCCCTTTTTTGTACGAATCCAGTTTTCAATTTTCTTAAACCTTCTTCCAAGAAGCCCCCAGTGATGGTCCTGTGTCCTTCAAAACTAAGTATCAAGATGACCCCTTGGGAATCCCCAAAGTCAGTGTAACCTTCTGAGCTCTGACCACTCTGCCTGAATTCAACTGTCTAGCAGATCCTTCTCAGAAGCCATAGTTTTTATTAGATTTTGCTCCCTGAATTCTACTGGTAAACCAGAGCCTTGGTTCCTTGTCACAATTCACTTTGCTCCATAAAATTGTCAATAACCCTGAACTTGTTTAAAGGGCCAATGGACAGCTGAACTCTGAGTAATGTGATCTTTGTATGATGTGTTTAGGTATCCTAAGAAGAGGAAAAAGACTAGTCCATCACTGCGAGAACTGGCCCACAGCATTCATTGGTTAGATCATGTTTAAGCATGCTTCTTTTTTCAGGGGGGGGGGAGGGCGCTAAGTAAAATGGCACACATATGAACTAGAACCCTATTAGCAAGACTTTCTATGACTCAAATATAATAAATAGTATAATATAATGCATACACTCCAAACAATCCAGGTTCAAATCATAACTCGCACTTATATATATATATATAACTATATAAGCTTCTTAATATCTGAGCCTTAGTGCCCCCACATTTAAAGTAAGGACAATAGCACCTACCTCATAGTGTTGTGAGGAACATAGGATTTAACACACGTAAAGCAGTTCAAAAAGCAAATAACATAGTGTTCATTATTGAAATTATTATTAAACAATCATTAGAAAGCATGTTATAAAAGCATATTTCACAGCTTAGTGATAGTGACCAAAATACTTTAAATATGAAACAATATAATCTAAATGTCAATTTAAAAACAACACAGAACTACATATTCACATAAATATGAAAGGGTAAGAACCAAATACCATCTCTCAATAATGGCAATATAGACAGTTATTATTATTTTGCTTTACTCATGCTTTATATAACTATCAAATTTTCTACAACACTCTTAAATAAGTGAAAACAAGTTATAAAAATAAAACATAACCAGGGGGCTAAAACAGTTTCAGAGCAGCTGTAAGGTTTCAGAGAGCCAACATGCAGAGATGCAAACCCAAAGACTATGCATCTCTTTCTTTAAAGACGTTACTTTGTTTGGAGGGAAAAAACAGGCGCATACATGGGACAAAATTAAACAGTAAGACTGAAAGCAAAATAGCATAATACTGCCCCCTAAAGTTACTTCTGTTCTATTACAAGTTTTCTTCCGCTATGTGAAAGCATAGAGATACTATGAACTTTTTGTAAGCTGAAACAGTGTTTGCTTTTTTTAAATCATTTTATTAGGGGCTCAGACAACTCTTATCACAATCCATACATACATCAATTGTGTAAAACACATTTGTGACACAGTGTTTAAAGCAAAGCAATTATTATATGGTAAACACTTTGACCATTCAGACCCCCCAAATAACCTGCCAAATCATACTAGATATCATATACACCCCTTTTATTCAGAGTTCAAAGCTATGGCCGCACGTTGCTCAGATGCTGAATATAATTCCCAAGTAAGTTCTCACTGTATGGTAGTTTTACTTCTCCCTTTTTTCTTGAAAGTGCAAACGTTTTCTAGATTTCTTTCAGTTAGGGAAAACAAGTACTTACATAGGTCTTGCATAAGAACAAAGTCATGTAATGCACACTCTTGAAAAGTGGGGGAGACCTTTACATCTTTCTTTCACTTTTTGTGTGAGGGAGTGATAACTCAGTATGGCTCTGTAACTCCCACCAAAGGATTGGGTGGGTCTGTGTAACACTAATAGAGGGGACTGGCCAATTTTCCTAAACGGCTAAAAGGATGAGTCATATCTGAATCTTTCTTTTGCTCTGTGTTCAACTATATGAGGCAGGACATGGGAGAGGAGGAATCAGGGAGCCAACAAACTCAGGGATAAGGGAACAATAAAACATCTAAAATTGATGGTGAGGAGGGCATATACTGCCTGGTGGTGCGTAATAAAGTGCAATTTATCCAACAGGAATTACTGAGAGCCGAATGGAGGGTGAGCATGCTAGTGAGATAGGAGGAAGGTGAAAGGAAATAGAGGAAAGAAATAGGAGGCAAAAGCTATTTATAGAGGTATAGCTAGCTATAGGCAGGTCTATATGTAAATATATTAATTTTTTTTGGGTAAATATACTAATTTATACCGAAAGGGATGGAGGACAATGAACATATTTTTATATGTTAAGTATTAAGATAGCAGATGGACTTTGGGCTTCTACTCAAGGCCTCCCTAAACACAAGAACACTTTGGTCCAATAACCTGGCACTCTTTGATACTCACCCTCCCGACACAATCGGTGAAGACAAAATGGGTGCATGGGTGCCTAAGCAAATGTGGTGAACAAAGTAGAATGGTGCCTGGCTATCAAAAGATATAACGTTTGGGGTCTTAAAGGCTTGAAGTTAAACAAGCAGCCATCTAGCAGGGAAGCAACAAAGCCCACATGAAAGAAGCACACCAGTCTGTGTAATCATGAAGTGTCGATGAGATCAGGAACTAAAAGATCCAAAACAATTATATCCAAGCAAGAGTGGAGTGGAAACCCAAAGCCCATCTGTAGACAATTGGACATCCCCCCACAGAAGGGTTATAAGAAGTAAGCCTGGTACAGTATAGCACCAGTGAAACACATCAATCCTCTAGTTCCTGAATGCTTCCCCCCTACCACTACCATGACCCAGGTTTACCTTACAAATCAGCTAGACTGGAGTACACGCATTGGCACAGATGAGCTCTCGACACGTGAAATTCAGGACAGATAAAACCTTCAAGAACAGTAGTGGGAGTAGCGATATCATGAGGGTTGGGGGATGGTGAAGGGGGAAAAGGTGGAACCCATCACAGGTTGGATATACAGCTCCCATCCCCCCACGCCCCTGGGATGAATAACAGAAACATGGGTGAAGGGAGACAATGCACAGTTGTAAGATACATAATCATCATCACATATAATTGATAAAGGATTCACAAGAGTGGGAAAGGGAGGGGGTTAAAAGAGGAGCTGATACCATGAGCTCAAGTAGAAAGAAAATGTTTTGGAACTTGGGGAAGTCGCATAGGAACTGTTGATGGCAACATTTGTACACGTGTGCTTGATACAACTAATTAATGGATTGATGAAAGATTTGTAAGAGCCCCTCAATAAAATGATTAAGAAAAAAATAAATTAAAAACAAAAAAGGATTTGGGGCTTTATAGGAGACTTCTGCAAACCCAGTGCACAGAATTTGAACTCTAATACATCTCCCTTCTTTGCTTCTTCAAGTCCTTGCCTGGGAGAATCACCGGGGCAGTTCTCACCTGCCTGACAGAATCACTATGAGTGGGAATCAACTCGGTGGCAGTGAGTTTGGGGGTCCAATAAGTTGAAGTAAGAAAATCAGAAAATTCAGAATATATTACAACTTGTGCAACTGAGGGAGACCAAGATGGAAAGAATCTAAAGGGAAAATATTTATTATAATTATAGCTATAGCCTTTTATTTCTTTAAATCTAAAGGTAATTTGCTTGTAGTTCTCAATCCTGGCTACATTTACAGGAACATTTACAAGAACATCGTGTCCACATTAATTAAACCAGCATCCCTGGAAGTGATGATGTCTTGACAGTGACAGTTTCAGAAGATCCTCAAAGGGCCCTAGTTAGCGCCAAAGTAAACTAAAGCAAAAACTCAGTGTTTCAAGAATCCTTTTCTTTTCCAGATTAAACTAAAGGTGTTGCCTATGAAATACTTATGTTTCTTTCACCAAGCATGTTAAAAAATGATTACAATCTCTAAGTAGAAGTGTGGCAAGTCCAAATTGGACGCCCAAAGCAAACCGATGACAGTTGAGTACGTTCCTGGACTATGGGCTCTAGTACAATCGGTTTTAAACGGGTAGGGAGGGGAGGGGGCAAAGGAGCTGAGTAATTTTTTCCCCCTGAAAAGGCTGTGGGGTAACTCTGCATCACCACGAATCCGAATGGGCTTTGTGGGAATTAGCAGCAATGTACCCTAAAGACAGGGAGACTGGGCAGAAAACAGGCCATAACTACATTTAAGGACTGTGCTTAGACAAAATGTGGATGGCCAAGGACTTCCTACCTCAGATGTTTGTTTGCTGCTTTTCTCACAGGTAACCTTACCAATTTCTCAAACAATAATGGTGGCGAACGCATCGTTCAAACAAGTAACTCATCAAGATTCGAAAATGTTAGGCAGAAACTCTTTCTAAAAAAACGAGCAAGGCCTGTGCGTTTAGTTTTTCCTTGGCTTTCTTCATATTGGGTAGCATTCCAAGTTTTGGGTTTAGTAATATTACTTACAGTAACAGAAAGAACACAACGGGAAGATGTAGATTTCCATTCATACTGGGTCACTGACCATCCCTGTACCCTTAAATCATTATTCAAATACTTAAAAGACACATCGCTTCTAGGCCTTTGGGCTAAGAACAAGTGTAGTATCAAATACACTTCCTCTGTACCAAATCAAAACCCACTGCCATTGCGTTGATTCCGAATCATAGCGACCTTGTAAGGGCAGAATAGCGCTTTACCGGGGCAGAAAACCTGTCTCAGTCTGCGGTGTACGCGGTGAATTTGAACTGCTGGCCTTCTTTCTGGTTCGCAGCCTAACGCGTACCCCACTACGCCGCCAGAGTTCCTCTCCGCCCTCGGAAAGCAAATCTGGGACGGATGCTCCTCGAAATTTACTTTACTGGCCGCCACGTCCAGTCGGATGCAAACTAAGCCTCCCATTCTGCCCAGAAGCTCCAACTCAAACTTTACTTTTTTTCTTGGTGTCTCCGGCAGGTTCCTCTGTCCCCGGGGACACTGCAGCGGAAGAAGGGGGTTCAGGGGTGACGGTTTCTGGGGAAACCTCCGTAAGTCCTTCGCAGCCAGCAGCAGCAGGGGGTGGGAGCTGCAGCACCGACTCCGGCTCCTCCGCCATCTTGCTCCGTGAGAGTCGACGGCGGAAGTGGCCGCTGAACACGTGCAGTGGGCGGGCTTTACGCCGGGGGCGGAGGGAGCGTGGGGGGGGGCGGGTTGCGTCACGAAGGAGGTGCCGGGAGCAAGAGCAAACTGAACTCAACAGCGGAAGATGGACTTCTGAGCTAGGCCTCTATGGACAGCCCGTCGCAGACGTCGGATTGTTAAGGACGTAATGCTAGTGTCCCCTGTAGCTCCAGCTTCCGGAGAAGGGAGGGGGCCACGCCCCCACGCACCGCCGTTGGCG